ACTTACCTAAATCCATACATACATACATAAAATTTATGCATGCGCGTATACTTTTATTTCTACGAGATTTTTTCAAAATATGTCGACGAAATTTAACCGGGGGTGTGGTCAGTAAAGTTGTACGAATTACTGGAAAATACAAAAATAATTAATAATTCAGAAACAAGATCATAAAAAAAAAACAGATTTAAGACCATCCTTTAAGATTACGTTCGTATATTTTCAAATATCCCTTTAAAGTCTTATTAATAGCAACTTGAAATAACTTTAGATAATAAACATCTAATATAACAACTTTGGATTACGTAAGAACTTGTTTATTAATAGAAATTAAACGAGCTTTTTTTTTATTTTTTTCTCACGTAAACACCGTTTGACATAAACCATTCGAGTTTTTCTTCGATAATCGATTGTCATTAAATTTATATTAGAAAAGAAAGTATGACAATTAATATAATATTATTTTTAAATCGTAAGCTGATGATAATTCCAATTACAAGGTCCTCCTCTACCCCTCTTCCTTTTCCTCTTCGTCGTCATCCTCCTCCACCTCGTCCTACGTGTAAAATGTATTTTTACTTGCCGTTCAAATTCCGGATCACTGGGGTTGAAAGTGTTAACGAAGCGAAAACATTTTCATTAAAATTCATAGCTATCGAAGTAAAGTTCGCCGAATTTCAAAACACGCAACGGCCTATACTATTCCTCCCTTCACCCCTCTACTCCTACCCCTCCCTTTTCCCTATCTTTTCGTTATCCTACTCGTCAACGATCATTTCTACACGTTTTTCCGACAAAAATATGCACAAAAATATGCACAAAAATATTACTCCTTCATTTATTTTATTGTTCTTTTTTCTGTTTTTTTTTTTTTTTTTTTTTTAAATATAAATATTCAAATCTTCCCCATTATTCGCGCGAAATAATTTAACGTGCGAATATAATATAATGATTCATGAGAAAAGAAATACAAGAAAAAAATTATAACAATGAGGAAGTTGTAACTTTATAACACGTTTGAGAAGAAGAAGAAAAAGGTGTTGGAAGTAAAAGTGGATCAAGGGGGTCGACTTACTTTACTTCTTTTTTCGTCTCTTCGTTTCACCTTCAAGAAAAATTTCGCTTACAGAGAAACTCGAGTAGAACAATTACAAGGAAATTTGAGATACCTTCATTTTCTTTTTCTTTTTTTTTTAAAATTCCATTGTTTCTGGCAACGTGATGTACTACTCACAGGTATTATGCAGAATGGATGATGTTAAAAATCTAGATAGTGGTGTTAGGTAGAAGTTTCAATCGATTAATGGTCTTGTCTTTTTTGTTGTTCTTTTTTAACCGGTTTTTTGTTTCAAATGAAATTTCTGCTAAGTAACGTTGAAATAGAGATAGAGTATAGAAAAGAAATTTTAGGGAAGAAAAGAAGTATAAAAATTCCAATCTATGTCATTTCAATATCAAAACACAAACGTCCGAAAGAATCGAATATCAAGTACTATCTCCCGTTTCAATTTCTCTTCCCCTCTCATCGGCACTCCCATCACCAAACCTCTGGAATAGCTTTCCTACGATTGGGGATGGACGTCAATCGAAATGTTTCGTTTAACAAAATTGAAAATTTCATTAATTCGAACGAATCTTGATTGCAAATTACAAATCAAAACAAAATATTAGGTTGGTGCATATGAAATGTCGGATTTTCTTTATCTACAAGGGAACTTGCTTCTAGAATGAATATTTGACCATACAACAATATTACGACGTCTTTCTGAAATTAGCAAGATGAACAAAATGGTTAAGTTGATATAAGTTATTTGAATATAAGATTTCAATCATCGATTATCGTCTAAAATCGCAAAACTTTATCCATGAGCTTAAATTTCAACTATAATTTGACAAGACTTAAAGTGTAGTTTAGTCAAAAGGTCAAGGCTTTCTTATTGGATGGAAAATGTGCAAGCGCACGCGCCCTTTCTTCTTGAAAAAATCTCGGGGAATGGGAGAAGAGGGTGTTTCGATGTTACGTAACAACACGCGAGAAAGAGAGAGAGAGAGAGAGAGAGAGAGAGAGAGAGAGAGAGAGAGCTCTTATACACAGGTAAATTCCACCACACTCTAACAGAGGATTCTTGATTGATCCAAGAGAACAAGAAGAAGGAGTTCCCTTGGTATAGAACGAAAACTATGCCAAAGGGAAATTCCGAAGAAGGAATATTAGGATGGAAAGTTTAGTTTATATCTAAATAACTACGTGCCGACCACCTTTTTTAGACTTTTTCTCCTATGCGTTATAAAGTTTCAACCTCGTCAAAGTCAAAATGCTTTACTTTGGTGTAAGCCAACATCGATCATCAGAAAGACTGATGAGAAGAAAGGAATCCTACATATATTTGACGCTTTTTGGTGTACTTGTTCTTCACATTACAGAAAAGAATTTCGTTAGAAATTTCTATATATATATTTAAACAACATGAAATTAACGTCTTCCTCTCACTGGACAGGTAGGGACAATAAAACAAACAAGTTTCTTCATTTTCCTGCAGGCTTTCGAAACTTATAACTATGCCAAGTGTTCGCATTCGCCAACCTGGCGAATATTAAAAACTTGAGAATTCATCCTACGCAAAGTTTTCATCTCAAGCCGTTTTTTTTACTCACGAATGATGATCGTTGTTTATTCGGTTACGTTAATGCCCCTTTTCAAATGAACAGACAAAAGTTAGGATATAAAAATAAAATGTAAAAATTGAGAAAAAAAAAGCACCACCTATTGTTCGGAGAATATTTTAACAGAGAGTGCAAAAGATAAACGATAATCGGTGCAAGCTTTGCATTTTAACGAGCAAGAAATCACTAACGTGATAATCTTTTAACGTCTAAACCATTTTATCCTTGACTGTGACTTCGTGCGTGTCTGTGTGTCTCTGTGTGTGTATACGTTTTTCCCATGTGTTTGTGTTCACACCCTATCTCGACGTGACACGACCCTATAAAATCCACGAGTTTAATGCGAATAAGGTGAAGGTGAACGTAGTTAAAACAAGAGATGATTTTCATTTTACAGATAACACCCATTTACCCTCTATGCAATTCGAATTTAACGAATGCATACAAGTAGAACGTCTTTGAAAAAAATATTTAAGTTAAATTCATTCAAATGTATTTCATTTAATTTGAACAATTCAATATCCAAGATTTCATCCGCAAATATTGTTCGTGTAAAAGATCAATTTACAATTTTGAAATCTTTCAATCGATCTTTCATAAAAACTATCTACATTTTGAGCTAATAATAATAAAAAGAAAAGAACAAAATCACACAGACTCGAGTGATTTGAAACAAACGCGTCACTTAAACTGCTAACTTCATCTTCATAGTTTATTATTCTTTCTTCAATAAAAATTCGGTTCAAGTTCAGTCCGTCGAATTTTTTGGGTTCCCCCAACTGGCCATAGTTTCGTTGAAAGCAATCAAAAGATTGGGGTGGCGAGTCGAGTCACTTGACACAAAAAAAAAAGAAAAAGATGGACAGAAAAACAGAAAAGAAAAAGAGTAGAAAAGGAAGAGAGTATGGAAAGGGAGAAGATTACCTCTCGTCTTTCCAAGAGAACTAAATATTTCAACTCGTAGGCGCAAATGAGCTGAAAAAACAAAGTAACTGCCTTCCTTCTCTCTTTCTCTTTCTCTCTCTCTCTTCTTCTTTTTTTTCTTTTTTTCTTTCTCTCTATCTTTATCTTTCATTCCCATCCTACAAACCTGTCGTTCTTTTCATTCTTTTCCACCCTTTTACAAGCAAATCCAATACCTACCTACCTACCTACCTACACCACTAGCACACCTTCGACATAATTTTATCTTCTTTTTCGCTTACAGTCCTCTGTTGTTCAACGGCAAATACAAGTCGTAATTATTAACGTAGAAATGTTGAATCGTCGAGTGAACTAAAAGCTTCTCTCTCTTCATATAGTCTAAAAATACCTTTATTTTTTTCTTTATCTTTCTTCTTCCTCTCTCTCTCTCTTGTGCATAAATGCTTCCACGTTTAAAGAAAAAAGAGTTGGGGGTTCGGAGGGAAATGATATAGTCACTCGATATCACGAACGGTAATGGCTCGGGGGTGTAAGTTTCTCCAGGAAGAAGAAAAATAAGAGAAACTAGACTTTGGATTCCTTGCAAATGTTCGAGAGAAAGGGAGAGAGAGGGAGAGAGAGGGAGAGAGAGAGAAAATGAGAGGACGTAAACGATACAAAGAGAAAGACTCGCGTGAATCATTGCTGTCGTACTGTAAGTGACACACGTGTATATCTCTCTTAAAACACACTTTTGTGCACTAGGCTTACGTGTATTTTTGTCTATATATGTATGATATGCGTGTGTGTACGAATGTGTAAGCTTACGCTCGTAATTATTCCTTTCATCTTGTTCTTTTTATTTTTTTTCCCTTCCTCTTACGAATCCTATGTTTTTGACCACGATTTTTTCGCGAGGATTCATATTGCAACGATGCAACCAGAAAGAAAAAACCAAAATAAAAGGACAGCAAAATATACTCGAGAATTGAAAAATACGAAACGAGAAGCAATTTGCGTCAGGCTCGATTTTTTTCTTTTCTTTCTTTTTTTCTTTCTTTCTCTCATTAGTTTCGTTGTTGTTGTTTTTATTTTATAGCTCGTTAAGACGAGTAATTAACGATCAGATTTATCATTCAACGAAGTTCGACTTTGCGACTAAATTCTTTTGCTTCCAATCCTTTGCTTTATTTTCTGTTGTTTTGAGAAAATTAAAGGTGTGCATATTGGTTAATTGAAAAATATTCATTAATTATATCAAGTTTGACAATGTTTCTATTAATTTATCGATATATAATTTGATTATATAAATGATTTTTAGGCTAATTTAACTAAAATAATGTATATTTACAGGGGCTGCAAATGGACTTACTCCACTTTCTGAATAAACGGTTTTATTTAAATTAATCGATTAAAATGATTCGTTTGTTTAGATATTCCAAAAGTAAGCGAAACAGAAAACAGTCCGAAAGAAAGATCGGAGGAGACTTCTAAGGAAGATAAGACAGAAGATAAGAAAGAGGAAGAAAACAGAGAAAAATTGGAAGAAAAAGAAGAAGAGGACCTTTCGGACAAGCATAAAATTGAAGCTGCTACAAGGATACAGGCAGCATTTCGTGGACATCACGCGAGAAAGAGTATGAAAGAGACTGATACCTCGAAACAACAAACGGGGACCAACGAAACAGAATCCGAGCCGACCAAGGAACAATTGCAACAGGAATTCCGTTCCGACGATAAAGGTAGATTTTCATTTGTTATATTATTTCAAATTTAATTAATGTATTTTTCAAAAACAAAAAGTCACAATAAAATTTCAGTTGCTGAAGAGGTCCCGATGAAGGGACTAAACGTTCAATAAGATCGAAATAACGTTCTACAAATTTTTAACCTGTCCAACTTCCCTAAGACACATTTAGTACTTTACAGAAATATTGTATAATAATAGTTTGAAAATAGGTATTTAGTATTAAAACGATATATAGATAAATCCGAATAGAGACGCTTTAATATCACGATTCTAAATGATGCGATGAAAAATTCTCAAAGCGTGCTTTTTTCCCGGCACATTCGCAATCGAAGAAAATCATTTCATCCCATCTTCGACACGTAATAGTAGGGGCATCGCTGTTCAGAATTCGAATCACGAAAATCGAAGAAAGAAACGACGCTCCCTATTCCTATTTCTTCTAATCTCGGGTCAATTGCTTCATCAACAAAAAAAGAAAGTAATCGATCATTCGTGATTAGTTTCGAAAGACAAGAACTATCGAAATAAACTGCACCCCTATATTTTTACAAATGAAATAATAATTTATATTAATTTCTTGTTTTTTTTTTGTCAATAATTATTAGAACTGTGCAACGCAGCAACAAAGATACAAGCATCTTTCCGTGGCCACATGTCGAGAAAAGAGCAAGCCGCATCAGCTCTCGTCAAAACGGCGGGAGAAATTGTTGAAAATGCTGCTTCCAAAATAGAGAAAAAGGTAAGTTACGTAATATAATAAAATATAATCACAATATTTGAATAATATATTAAAGAATAAAATCCACAGTTAATTTATTTCAAATATCTTTTTGAAATAACCGATCATTATATGATTATTACTTGTGTTATTATTGTCAGCTATGATCATTAATTTTCCTATTATTTTTTGTACATGTACGGTCAAATAAATATAGTCATTATTAAGTGACGTTATCAAAAGGTCTGATTTATAAAGGAGAAGAAGATCTTTATCGTCTTGGCAATTTAACGAAGACGCCCGATATATTTCCCGCTCTCTCTCGCCACTGTAAAAACAGAAATTGCCATAGAAAATCTCGTATAGAAAGACTCTATGTCTTTCTCGTTCGATCGGTCGATAAAAGCTTTTTTCTCTGCAATGATAGAGTGATATATATGCCCTCGAAACGATATCAGGATCGATAGTATCAAAGCTCGTCGTCTTGTTTCTCTTGGTTATCATCATCCTCTTAAGTTAGCATACTTCGAAATAGATAAACCAAGCAACTCGACTTTTTTTCACACTGCAACACCCTTCATTTCCTAAGTGGTTTTGCTCTTAAATCGATTTTAATACATTCGACCCTTCTTCTTCTTCTTCTTTTTTAACAACTATTAGGTTGCTGCATATGAAATCTTTTTCCCCTGTTTTCCTTATTTTTTTCTTTCGGCCATAATTTTGTTTTTTTTTGTAATTTTTTTTTTACATTTTCTCTGGACATGAATTCAACCGATATTCGTGTAATTTTTATATATGAGTATGACAAAAAAAACTCGATACGATAACGAACTATAGCAGCAAATCTCACGATCGACCTTTTCGTTCGTTTCGAACGTGATCGGAAGTACTCAACAACACATGAATACGTAATACACACGTATATACTTGTACCATGTATTTACACACGAAAATCGATTTCATCGATAGAGAGACTGAGGAAGAGCAATAACGAGGAACGAAGTTTACCCTTGTAAATTAGCTAATGGATGATCATTAAAATTTATATACCGATATTCAATAATTCTATTCGCCGAGGAATCCGTTTCTCCCAAAAGGAATATATTTCTTCCTTTTATTTTATATATATATATATATATATATATATATATATATTTTTTTTGTTATTTCTGTAGACCCTCATTTTTATCCAATTTTATATATATAGGTACATGTATAGGTAGTTTTCCTTTTGGTTCACGAAATATTATCATTAGCTTAAATCTGCCGATGAGATATTATAAGCGTGACCTAAATCATACATTCATACATAGATACACATAAAGCCACTTTCAATATTGTAAACCTAAACACTGATGAATTATGAAAATGATTTCAATTATATCATATGTAAAACAGTTAATTTATGATATTATAATGATCGATTAATTCCATCCAATTTAAATCTTCAATTTATTTTTATATTAACGCAACACAATGACATAATATTATGTTCATAAATATTTATCTCAAATGAAGTTTGTTCTTTTTGTTTGAAGTTTATACAAGGTGTTCTAATTTATAAAAGAAAAGCACTCTTTATCCGTACTTTAATCGTTTTCATCTTCTCATCATTTTCTATTTGAACAAAAGAGAAATATTGTTGGCTCCTTGAAATTTTTCACGAGAAGAAGTTCAATTATTTCTGTCAAGAACTAAAACGTGATCGATGAGATTTATCTCGTTGTTTCTAATAGAGAACGTTAGAGTAGAAGAGACTTTCGTGATATTTCTTCCTATACCATCTGATAATGGATAACACGAGTTTCCTTTCCGTAGAATATTGTCAAATGTATTATGAGAATGGAAGAAAAACAGGTTTTCTAATATAAAATCGAACTAAATCATTCAAACCATGCAAATATATCTTCTCGATGCTCTGCATAATGATTGAATATCGATAATTTTATTTAATATATACTCGTATATATAATATAAGTATTCAGATTCCTGTATTAATGATTTCCTTCCATTCGAGCAATAATATACAAATTTTTCGCGACGACACACATATATGTATCTTTGCATATGCATATGCATTAAGACCATTTGGAGATATATTTTTTGAAGGACAAGTTAGAAGGAGCTCGTTTCTGATATCGACCTGATTCTCTTCAGAACACTGAAGAGAAGCACTGAAATATTCATGAACCATCCGTTTCGAGTTCCTTTTTTGCATCACCGAGCATAGAAGAAGCCGTTCGACAAGATTTCTAATGATGCCGAAAATGCTCCCTGCATAAAATCCCAATGAGCTTTTCGCGAATTCTTTCTTCGGGTCCTTTTCCACCTCACTGATTCTTTTCCCTTATTTCCTTTCGTTTATTTCTTACTTTCCTACCTTCCTATTTTGTCTCATAAATATATTTTCTGTCTCGAGAAATCCCCATGAAAAATTTATACTACTTACGAATTAATTTAATTAAGATCAATGTGTTTTTTCCTCTACCGAAAAGAAAAAGAAGACAGGATAACGAACCTTAGACGTGTTCACTTTTAATCATTTGCAAATGACAAATATATTCAATTGTTCGCATGATTATTACAAAAAAAGATTTGAAGATCAATGAATTTATATTAAATTGAACGTCACACGTACTTTTTCAATTAAACCAAATTTTCATATGAAATATTCGAATAAAAATCTAACGTTAATCTCCACGTTGATCTTAAATTTAATACAAGAGCTAACGTGAAATTTAAGCTCGGATAATTTTGCATTTCAATTTGTCGATGGAATATCATCGTTTCAAATTTGAATAATCCGAAAAAACATTTTACTTTCAAAGTCTAGGAAACTTAAATATAAAATAACAAGTTAGAAAAAAATTTAAAAAAACAATATTTTTCCTTCCCAATACATAATTTAAAAGTTATTTCAATGTTGGTACGTTTAAACTAGCTGCTACCAATCACAATGAAACGTGTAAAAGGAAACACGTAGGAAATATTGAAAAAAAATAAGCATGCAGTGTTGCATTCGAACTAGGAAGCTCCCTTCTTTCTTCTTTCATTTTTCTCGATGTCAGTATGTATTTTTAAAAAGTGCACGCACGAGACGACGTTCCGCAAATGATAAATTCCACGACTCGCGAAATCTCTTTTCAAAAGTTTCGAGAACGAACAGCTACGATTCGTTCTCGTAATTTTAGTTCATTCTTTTTCTTTAGTGTGATTTTGTTTTTGTTAATATTTTTTTATTTATACCGCGAGAAGGGAAGGGTGGGGGGGGGGGGGGGCTACATTCGATGTATAATATCGAAATGTAGGTCACTCGTAACACCTTTCTCGATTATTTCTATCAACGTTTGTATTCGTTCACAGCGTCGTGATCGATCGTTAATTTTGTTTTTCGATTTGTTATTAATTCGAAAAGTCAGCGATTCTCAACCAGAGGAATACCATCATTCAGGAATTCACCTTTGGATGAATAGTAAAGAAAATTTACATTTCATACAAACAACTATCCCACTTCTCTTTTACGTACTTTCTTCATAAAATATACACACACATACGGGAGCACGCGCCCCACATACATTCATACATAGATAAATAATTCCCTTTTAATGTATCCGCAAAAACTACTCCCCTATTCCATATTAAGTAGAAAATTACGCGAACTTTCAGGAGAAGCACACATACAGAACTATCTAAATGAATATTCGAGTTGACTGTTCCACACAGAAAGAGATTTAAGCCAAGCCAGGCTTACCGAAATTATCGAACTATGCAATTTCTGAGTGTGTGTTACTTCTTATGAGGTATATTCAAAAATTGATTCGATAAATAAATGAAAAATAATAAGAAAATTCGGACGCCTGTATTAAACAATATAAATGTGCTGTACAAATTTATTGTGCACATTTATTGTTACACATTATATAAATATATATAAGAGAAATACAATTAATTTCTATATTGTGTTGAGATTTTTCATGAAAATGTTACACTTTTATTTACTCTTTTTTCTTTGATTAAACTACTTATCTTTATTAAAAATCACACATGTGCTCTTTCTGTTCTCTTAGTTCGTATCTGTATATTCCTCTCTAGTTCAATATAAAATTCAATTTTAAAGAAAATACATTTTCTTTACATATATATTACACATTTTTCATGAATTTTCTATAAGCTTTTTATTCTTTTAATTATCCAACTTAATCTTCCGTATCTCTCATTAAAATGTAATGATAATAAATTCTTTAGAAAATGAGAAAGATATTTTACCTTGATTAAGATTGTTCTAATTAATTAATTAACTACGACGTGTAGGAGATATTAACTCGAGATGCTTAAGTTTAGAACAAACGTATTAATATTCATAACGCACAGTGAAATCTATGAATCGTAGAAATCGGATATTCGTCAGTATCAGATATCAGACCATTGAAGAAGAATCTTTGGTAGCTTCAGAAGCACGTAGAGTTGAGAAACAACGTCGACCGATCCGAATCGATGTTCGAATCAAAACTTAATTGATACGCGTGTTCTGCAAGCCGAATCCGATCGAGTTCGTTCTTGTGGTTGAACGTAAATTCAATTTCTCGGGATATCGATATTACTCAAAAGCAATATTCCTATTCAAACAAGTCCATTATTTTATGGTAAATTTTGCAATCTTTTTTTTCTGTTACACGCGCCTACCTATTTATTTAATATTATTACTTAAATTGTGAAACACTCATTTTCCGTATCAGAATACGTGTGATTTTCAATAAAATCATTAATAACATTTCTGATTCCATCATAATATGTATAAAAACGTCGGCATATAAGTAAATTTATAAGAAAATATAGTACCCCGTGGATTATATGCAATATCTTATAGAATCTAGCTAGCTTTGATGTTTGAAGTCTACGATTGATACTTAATTGAATTATTAATCTATTAAATCATAAATTGGAAAATTATTAATGAAAATATTATTAACTTGTGAATACCGTGAAGTCTTTAACAGGGGTGCTTAAATTGCATCGTAATT